GACTTTACAACTCTTTATTCTAATACTTGGATTAGTTTTCATGATCAGTGCATCAGACTTTCAACATCTACACTTACTTAAAAGAGTATGTGGAAAAAGTATATTAAACCACGATGTAATCGGGAAAAGCATCATTTCAAGATCAAAGGCAAGTATACTAGCATACACTGAAAATTGAAAAACAGGCAGTGGGCCTGGGTTAGGAAAAATATTCCAATGTCTGAACTGGATAATATCTATTCTCTCAATCTAATCTGGCTATTTGAGAATCAGGATTTACCTGTCAACATTTTGATGTTTGCATTAATTTAAAAATCCTCCTACCCCCTCCCCCTCTCTCTCATTTAAATAGTATTTATACTGCATATGTGTTTTTTTTCTCAGAGCACGACGCGCCTTTTAAAACAGGTGTATAATATTTGGTTCCTCAAAATATGTGCACTAATTCTGTGTATTTGCAAAAAAAAAAAACTTTCTAGAAAATATTTTCTGAGGTTATTTTTTCAATTGTTTATAATCAAAAAGACCAATCTTACAGATCGAATGTGGTGCTCAATGTTTGATAACAAAGGATTGCAAGGTGATATCATATGAAAGTAAACTTGACCATGGAGAAAAGGGGTTGTGTTCCTTAATTAGCGCCCCAACTATCGCAGACCCTTATATAGTGGCGGATAATTCGTCCATGTGTTTTATGGTGGGTGATGAGATTTCAGTTTCAACATCACAAGAAATAACAACGGAAACTTCTATAACAGAATCAACAACAGGACCTTCATCAACCTCGCTAACAACGGCAAGAGAATCAACTTCTGTTACTTCAACAGCAGCAACAACAACAACAACGGCGACAGTGTTTCAATATTCTGAAGTATGTCATCTTGTAATGTTTATTTTATCTTTCTGTTGGCTTTAAATTATCACTACATATTTTGAACAATTTCAAAATTATAAAACATCTATATTTATCTATTAAATTTTTAGAGAAACGATTAGTAAAATTTACAATAAATGTCTATTTTGGGAAGCTGGAAAAAGTTGCAGTTACCTGGGATGAGGTCATGAGAAAGCATTTTATTGTTTTTAAAAATAATATCAATACAGAGAAAAATCTAAAATAATACGGATGATTAGGATAGCTCTTGTAGTAGATAATAACTCGTTTGACTTACGCACCGCAAAGACAGGATTAGTTCACTAGCATACAGTGATTTCTGGGGAATAATCCCCGTCTAACGATCTCATTTTATAAAGGAAAAAATCAGAATTGGTATGGTAACGTATACTTATTAATTCTGGAATAAATTCACTTTGATATTTTTCATATTCGATTTTACGAGTATAATACGGCAATAGTAGTTGTATTTTATTTTATTCCATATCTTATTTTGTATAATCGGCTTACTTTCGTTATGAGAGGGAATTGATAAACATTAGGTTCCCCAGAATGGGTTTAAATGTTTTATCACTGTAATGGTTTGGTCGTGGATATTGACCTGGGTAGCCAAGTCGGTAAAACGCCTGACTAGTGATGCAGGCGGTCCCGGATTCGATGCTCGGTCCAACCATACATTTTCTTCTTTCCCGTTACATGTACATTATTACGAAAGCCTATTAGGATCAATTTAGAGAGAAAAAAAATTAAAAAGGCGTTATAACGTCTTTTGAAAAGGCGTAATAACGCAAAGAAAGACGTTATTACGCCTTTCCATTCCAAAAGGCGTTATAATGAATTTTCAAAAGGCGTTATTACGCCTTTCCATTCTAGAAGGCGTTATTAGTCTTATTACGCCTTTCCAAAAGGAGTTATTACACCTTTCTAAAAGGCGTTATTACGCCTTTTTGAGGCGTTATTACGCCTTTCCAAAAGGCGTTATTACGCCTTCTTAAATGGCGTTATTACGCCTTTCTAAAAGGCGTTATTACGCCTTTCCATTCTAGAAGGCGTTATTACGCCTTTCCAAAAGGCCAAAAGGCGTTATTACGCCTTTCAATTCTAGAAGGCGTTATTACGCCTTTCCAAAAGGCGTTATTACGCCTTCCTAAAAGGCGTTATTACGCCTTTCTAAAAGGTGTTATTACACCTTTCTAAAAGGCGTTATTATGCCTTTCTAAAAGGCGTTATTATGCCTTTCCAAAAAAGATATTATGCTTTTTGAATAACCATTATTTTGCTATTAATAGCCCCCCCCCCCCCGCCCCACACACACACACACACACTCCACTGGCCAAATTCGTGGGGGAAATACTCGGTAAAAATTTATTTAAGTGCAATAATTTGTCACAGTTTTACATACTGCAACAAAATGTTCAGGAACCTAGAAACCAATAGTTAATCATAATATTTAAACTGTAGCAAGACTTTTCCTCAAAAGTGTGTATGTTTGGAGGGGGTTTACCCCATTCGCACTCGTATTACTGGCCTACATGAAAAGGAAAAGGAAAAAGCGTTATCTTATGTTAATAAATATAGAAAGATTTAATTAAAACCATCTTTATTTATGTATAATTCTCTATATTCCTGCACATCTCACTGACAACTGTTTGCATTCGTATTAAGAGAAGACAACACTCTACTTGTGAAGATCTAGAATATAGGCAGACTTATCTTGGAGCTTTGCTTGCCATGTACAGTGTATTAAAATTTATGTCATTTGAAGATATTTTTCTCTCTTCTTGGAAAAAAGCAGGCAACTATTTGCATGGGTATAATGAGCAATTGAAATCAATGACCCTTGGTAGAGATGTGCCTGGCATGAAAGAAGGACTTCGTTGGTTCATCATTGAAAATATTTGACGCATTTAAAAATCTTTTTTCCTGGAAATCTAATTGCTATCTGTTTAAATTATTTTTTTGAGATATTAGTCCTAAATCTAATTGTGAAATTCATGTCCCGAAGGTAAGATTTCTGCACCCCCCCCCCCTCGCCTCGGATGGGCTAAAGATGTTTACTTATGTATTGAAAGTAAAAGGCGTAGTAACGCCTTTTGGAAAGGCGTAATAACGCCTTTTAGAAAGGCGTAATAACGCCTTTTGGAAAGGCGTTATAACGCCTTTTAAAAAGGCGTAATAACCATTTTTGGAATGGAAAGGCGTAATAACGCCTTTTCAAAAGGCGTTATAATGCCTTTTTTCGCGTTATTACGCCTTTTAAATTTTTTTTCTCTCTACATTAATCCTAATAGGCTTTCGTACATTATAAACTAGTGTAAATCATGTTCAAAAAAATTTAAAATACTAATTAAAATTAAATATTTGAAGAACCTTACACTATTCCTTTTCGTGATTTATCTAGACAATTATAGATATGATAGACAACGTCAACAACCTATGCAAAACCGACTCACAACATGACATAGCTGTTGTTACCACACAAGGCGTCCATCTCTATGACAACGCCGACTCCCTAACCACCGGAGCGTGCAGGAACATGACGATTGCTGAACTGTTTACAGGATATTCTAATGTACCAGATGTATCAACATGGTCTGCTTTGTTGACATACACCAATACCTTCTTTGATCTATTCACAAGTATGTGGATTCAATTTTTTTTTTTATTCAATTTCATATCATAAATGAAGAAAGACACATAATGCTACTGACGTCATTATAGAACAACTGCTTCATCAATGAAAAAAATCAAAACTTTGTAAATAAGCATAACGATCTTTGGTCTTATAACTTATCTAAAATGCAGTCTCCGGAGACCAGGCCCAAAGACCATGAACAGACTGTAATATTGTAGCTTGATTTTTTTACGTAAGTCTGTTCTCAGTTTATTGTTTTGGGGCCAGGTCTCCGGTCTCCCAAAAATTTCTTGGAATTCTTGTGGGTTCTAAACATAATTATATGCGTCACATTAACAGACCTGATTCCGTACACTCAAATGAACTCAACTGTTACATGTACATCAAATTAATTTCCTGCTGTCGTATTCAATTCGTCATTTTGCAATTTAATTACAAAGTTTTATCAATTATCAAAGCTTCATTTATTCATTTCTACGTTGATTCGTTAAGCAGTTATCCCTTTGAAACTAAATTGAAATATATCACGTCTGCCTCGTATTTGAATTTATTTTACCAGAGAAAGACAACGGATTGTAACAACTAAACATAATAACAAATTGTTTGTGTAGCAACATACCGGATATTATTTTCACCTGCGAAAGGGGTTTGTTTCACAGTTGATTCAATACCAGAGGGTAATGTTCTACCAGTCTAAACCATAGCAAGCTTTGGCAAATAAGTGCTTATACAAGAATATCGACAATCTCATTTTAATGAACTTTTCATAAATTCCATGGATGATACAACGACTATTTGCAAACACAATATGTCCATAGAATACACATGTATTTTGACTGACATCTTCAGTACAAGGTGTATACACAACTTTCCACTGAATGGTCTATCGATTTTCTGTTGACCGGATCATAAGTGGTATACAGGGGCGTGACCGTTCATCACGCCTACTCCTCCATGGCACTTGATCACGCCTCTGTTTTCAGAGCTCTGTATTGACTCTGTTCACATTTTTATTAAAATTGACTTTTAACACGGTAATTGTTCATTTAATATATGTCCACATTTTCTACTAAATATCCTAATTAAATAAGTTTATGTACCTTTTCTAATTAAATATTTTTTTCTCCTATAAAAGTTTTCTTTTGTCTTATACTGCGCTTTATCTTTACTTTTTGTATGAACTTTAACCAATCACACTATTTGTTTGATTTTTTCACATTCCACACAGGGCATACATTTGAACAAATCATCAATGTAAGTTTTTGTGAGTCGTTTTAAAATCACCTATATGTGAAGTAGTTCCCTTATGGACAATGCCATCTAATTAAAATTGATCGCAAAATTGCAGGGAGATATGCGAAGATTTTTTTTTTAACAATACATCTGTGTAAATCATATATTTTCAGATTCTGATGATCGTGTATTTCGCTGGCAGAAGAACAGTGGGGATATTGTAAAAGTTGCGGACTATCCTAAAACCAAAAGCGACTACATTCTACAGTCGGTTTACCACAGACCGACAAATATCTTCAGTAACGTTAAATGGGGAGTGTACAGGGGACTGGGGGCACAAGAGCTGTTTTTTGGGGAGTCCTCAACGACAACGATTTGGTATTACAGAAACCAGCAACCCCACGAAGGAACTTTTGATAAATATGATACTTCAGGGAGGGACGGTAATCAACGACCAATTAATCCGTGGTATAACCTGCCAGACAACACGGTGGCCATAACTGGTCAGGAGAACAGCAACAGACATCTAGTCATTGATAGAGAGCTCAATGTTTACTTCTATGAGTTGCCTGACCCTCATGAATTTAATACCAAACCCCCAGTGTGTAATCTGCAAGGAAAACTCAAACTGTAATAATGAAAGCTTCATAGAACAATGTAGGAGAATCATGACCTGTGTTCCAAAAACAAAAACCAACCAAACAAAAAAAAAACAAAACAAAACAAACAAACAATTAATTACAAAAAGCAGAAGATATTCTATTTCAAGGCTAATGTTAAATAATATGAAGATATTGTATATAATTTAAAAGAATCTCAAGTCTATTATATGCATTTCATATTAAATTTTTAAGCATTGCTTTATACTACATTTTTAACTAATAACAATTTAATTGTATAGCGCATGTGTTAAAAGTCAAAAGGGGATGTTAATTCCTCCAAGACACCTGATCCCGCCCACATTGTTACCAGGATTGCGTGTTAGTCCTGTTTACGATTTGTGTTCTACATGTATACTGATATTGATTGTTGTCCGTTTTCTTAGGTTTACTGAGTATAGCTTATTTTGATTTGTATAAAGCATTATTTGTAAACTCATATTCAGGCCATTGAACCAGTTATATTAAGGTTATGAGGAGTTCAGTTCAACTGTTTTAACAATCAACACATCGACATCAAGAAGTTTGGTATGAAACAGAACAATGTAAAGAGAACATGCATTTGCCAAAAATGTTTTGCAAATGAAGAATATGAATAATAATATGTGATTCCTGCCAATCAAATCCAATCAATTGCGTTATGTAAGTTATTTGTGATATTGTTCAAATACTAGTATTACGCCTTTTGTAAACATTTAAGCTGTTATTTTTTTTTTCTTTTAAAGTCGACCTCTTTAAATTCTCTTTGGGTAACGTAAGATTGCAGTTAAGTATAGATAAACATCTCTAAATTGTTTGGAGTAGTTGTGTTGGTTTGCATTAAAATTGATTGCAACATGAATTCCATCTTTTAAATCATGTTCGATAACAAAACCGACTTTAGAGACAATTTGATCTGAATTGATTTTCTATCCATTCTTCATTTAAAACTGATTTCCAGCATCACGGACAATTTAGAATCAATTTTGACAAAGAGCCAATATAAATGCTCCTGTACACATTTTGATACATTGACTGTCCAATTTCGAGTTTGATATGACAAGGGAATACACTTGAAATTAGCTCTCTGTTTCATACCTAAACCGCAATCCATTACTATGTACGACTGAGATGTGACCTATGCAAAGGTCGTTGCTTTTAATAAAGTGATTGATAGAAATAAAATAGATTTTGAAAGAATGTAATTGGGAAAGGGCCATTTTGTACTCAGTAATTTTTTTCCTAGTGCTTTTAAGGTAATTTTTTAAATATGCATTATTATTTTTTGAAAAAATCCCAAATCAGTGGAACCAAGAAGTAAATATTTTCAAGTACCAGTATAATGAGTGAGAATAGAAATACGAACAAGTTAATTCAGAGAATTTGTGTCCCCCGCTTAGGGAAAAAGTTTTATCCACCTGACTGAATTTGTAGAATTATTAAATGAGTACTGAAGCAAATAAATTATGCCAATATGGATATAAAGATTTGATTGCTTATTCTTTATTATGTGTATAGAAGATTCTTATATATGGAATATTTATCACACTGTAATGATGATTTTATGAGTTTGTACAAACCAGACCTCATAAATTTTTCATTTTACATGCTGAATACTTCATTTAGTAGAAAAAAAAGTATTTCGGAAAAAAACAAAGTGAACCATATTAGAAATTCGAACCCGGGACCTCTCACATGTAAAGCCAAAGACATACCATTAGACCACGGAACCGCTTACGATCTCTGTCAATTATATGCAAACATGAAGTCACATACATGTATTTATTATACCTCATTATAAATATTCTAAACAACGCGTTATCTGATTGGTTCTAAGTTGTCACGTGATCGGGCCGTAAAACTTCATATATCCCGGCCGTCGGCATGCTTTTCATCATATTCCACCTCTTCGGATACTTATTGCATTTTCCCGCAAAAATTATCGTTCGTTTAAAGAAAACTCCCAAGAGCATAGTAGACGTCACAATGATCTGGTTTACGTCATAAAATTGATGATAATGTGTTGACAAAAGAGTTTTAGTAACGTTTTGTTAAAAATGAAAAAGAATTTAAGAGCGGTGCCGAATTTGAAAGTTTATGTTTATTTCAAAGGTTTTGCTTATTTCGGTATAATAAACAATTCATTGCATGAATGTTCGGGAAACATGAAGGCTTATTCAGCCAAGAAATATCATATTTCCCTCGGGCGAAGCCCTCGGGGAATATGATTTTTCTTGGCTGAATAAGTCTTCATATTTCCCTCACTATCATGCAAAAAATGTATAATATTGTCAAATTTTTACACAATGAATGGTGTCTAATTTAGCCTTTATTAAACAGTTCTAATAGTTGTAATAAGAATATAAAGTCCGCCGAGAAACCTGTTTTATGCGTAATAACTCTCCTCATGTCCATGTGCTAAAAATAGCGACATTTAATACAATAAATTAAATACTAATAAAACAAACGGGGCGGGACACTTTGAGAGGGTTGAGAGAGGTCCAAGGGAGTTTTGGTATAAAATTACATGTACATTGCAAAAGCTCAAAATCTTCTTGAAATATCGCCCGGAAACGACAGTGCAACAAACAGACAGAATATATAAATTTACGACCTGGAACTTTGACCTTTTGACCTCAAAATCAATAGGGATCTTCCTTAGGGAGTTGTTATGTAAAATTTCATTGCAAACGCTCAAAGGGTTCTCGAGATATCGCGCTGAAACGAAAGTGTTATAACAGACAGATAATGCGAATGTATGACCTTGACCTTTGACCTTTTGACCTCAAAATCAATAGGGTTTTTCTTTAGTCCATAGGGAGTTGCTATGCAAAATTTCAATTCGAAAGCTCAAAGGGTTCTCGAGATATCGTGTGGAAACGAAAGCGTTACAGACAAACATAATTAAAGACGGACGGACGGACGGACAGACCCAAATTAATATCTCCCACTTTTCAAGCGGGGGACAATAAACTGATTTTATATTGATTTATTCTTCTCTCATACCTCTTTAAACATTATATATAACGGCTTTCTTTTAATCTTCAGTTTCTATAAAAAAAAAATTATGGTAAATAAGTTTTCAAAATATGTAATTCTTATTTTGAGGCATTGGCACATAAATCTTTTTTCACTGAAGGGGATCAATGATAGTAATCACCTGTATTATGTTGATTATAGAGGGTATAAAATTTTGATATGGTATTTCTTTAATATGCTTTTCTTGTACTTCTTCAAAAAGAATTCTTAATCAGAATTTCCTATCCTTCACAATTCAGTAACATGACGTATTACTTCTCATTGAAAACTCTTTGAAGAGAGACTCCTCTTGATATATGGTGGTTATAGTAAAAAATATAAACAGTTATCAATAAATACGATCGTTGAACAAATTAGAGAATTTGAAAAAAAAATATTGTATTATGAATAATACAGAAGTATGGTTTAACGTCTTCGAACTTATTCAATACTCAAGACCATGTTCTTAGTATAATAAAATTTAAAACCTATTCAGGCTATTCTGTCAATTACGTTGATGTTACAGTTATTTTAACAACCACGTTTACAGTCAGTATTTCTAAAATTTAATGGTCGTCACCTTGTATTTATACCAATTTTAAGGATTTTTATTCTTTACTTCCTATAACCAAATCAATACTTAAGGTTAACAGGCGTCGTGTTTTTTCGATACTTATGAACATACACAAACACACACACCCTCAAACCCTCTCTCACACACCCTCATTCACAAATTATAAATCAATAAATTCAATATAGTATCAATGCATTACTACGAATCATTTTCTAACCACGAAATTATATCTCCACATACATGTACCCCACAAAATATTTTTTCCTCAAACCGAGAAAATTTGACCCCACGTAAATATGTGACTTTCTAGTATACATTTCAAGTTTTATAGGAATAATTACACCGATTATTTTGTGTTTCTGTTACTTGATCAAGTTGATTGATTCATTAATGAAATATACTAAAAAGTCACAAAATAAACATTGTTGTGGGGGTCAAATATTTCGTGGGGGGTTGTGGGAATTTTATTTCGTGGTTGGAAAATATTTAGTAGTTATGCATATAAAAGGATACATTTCATGGTTGACATAAATTCCTGAGTTTCTCCATACCTCGAAAACAACAAAATTAAACCCCCATGAAAACTAGGGATATTGTAAGCATGAGCGCACTAAATGACACCCCGCCTTCAATATGATTATAATGACAAAGTCCATGTTTAGCTCTGGGAGACCCAACATTAGTACCTGATCAAAAAGTAAAATAGGGGATGCACAATGACATTAGGTAATAAAGAATCTGTGAAAGTATCACCAAATTTTATTCAGTGCATAGGAGGTGTTGCGAATAAGAGATGTGTACCCTTCAATAATAGAAGGAATGGCAGCGTTCATGTTTTGCTATGGTAATCCCAAAATATGTGCCAGATCAAAAAGTAAAATGACAGGTCACAATGGCACTATGTACATGTAATAAAGAGTTTGTTGTCTCATTTAATTTCAATCAGTGCTATAAGAGGCGTTGCGGAAAAGAGATGGGTACCCCAAAGCATAACAGAGGGATGGATGTACACACAGACGAACTGACGTACAGACGGACAGCCATCCCCATCACTATATACCCTCCCACTATTCAAGCGGTGGGTATCATTAGTGATTTCACAGTCTTTCAACTTACACTTAAAACAACTCAAAGCGAAAATTTATAAACACTCTTAAAGATTTCGCACATTTTCTGATGGAGAACATTGTTTTTTATGTGAACGTACATGTATCAATATTTGGTCTCCTGAGTCTTCATCCTCACCGTTTCTGATTTTAAAGGCAAAAAAAGAAGCTGATTTTCTATATATTTTTTAATTACTCATCATCATGTTGCCCTAAATTATAAAATGTTCGACAACATAATGGTGTATTATACTTCACTCTGAGAGCTTTAAAACACAACTACTGGTATTTCTATTCAGGTTTCCGTTCTGGATAGTTCATTCGTTTCCTACGTAGGAATGAAAACGCACAGTGTTAACTAATTGATTAAACGTCAATGTTATCAGACCTATTTTTGCATATTAATATGAAACTAATGTAGTCAAAA